CAGACACCACTGGGGTCAGGCGACATAGGAAAGGCGTTCCCATGTGTCAACACTGGACTTACCGCCCGACTGTCTACTGAAGATAACAATATCTATTTAGGAAATTCATAACATCTATTCTGTTATTAGTATTCTGACCGACCCCATCTCATTTTTTTAAAAAGAAGAAATAAATGACTATACGAGTTTAGCAAACTTGGAAACATTTACACGTCAATTCTAAGATAATATTTGCCACGGCCAAATAAAATCAGCGCCGAAAATTGACTGACGGTTTCAAAGCACGTAGCCGGTCTGGTTAAAAAAAAAAAAAGCCGACGTAAAAGATAATACTATTTACAGCAGAGTCGAGATTTGACTATTTAAAACGGACTTTATGGATGGCAACGTTGAAGGTCAGCAAGGCAGTGTTGGTAGCGAGCAGTATCATAAAAACACGAGACTAATCAATAGAGCGATTCATAAGGGTCCGCTGCGACGGCCGGGAAGTAGAACCATCCCCCCCCCCTCCTCCTCTCTTTACAAACCACGGCTCCCCACTCTCATCCCCCCCCTCCCCCATCCCGTTTACTGCTCTTCTACGTTTTAGTATTTGAGGAAGAAACACCGCAAAGATGCCTGGAAGCAAGTCCATCCCTTAAATGGCATTGTGTCTGATAGCCGTCTAATGAATGACGTATCGAAATGTCTAGCACACAGCGTGACCTTCGCTGACATCATATTTCAACCCCAACGTTTTTTTTTTTTTTAAATCAATTTTTTTCCCTCTCTCTGTGTTAACATAGTTAAATCAGGCATACATCAGCATCGCCGTATTTTCACTTCAACAAACAGTAAGCTAACGGTAATATAAAAAGGAAATCGAATTTTCTTCCTTCCTTATTACACGACATCTACTGAAAACAGAGCTGAATGGCTGAAGAGAAAACCAAACAATAGACCCGCGCGATTACTAGACAGTTTATTTTTAGGGAAAGGGGGGAAAACGTGTTAATTATGCTAGTGTTAGCAGCTGTTTCTCCAATAATTGGCGAATTACACCCCTATCTTGACAAGAAAAGAAACTTTCACCGGTATTGAAAATGGGCTGAAAACAACATTTCGTCCTTATCTTGTGGGCCCTTGCTTGCCTATCAGCGGCCCATTAGGGCAGATGATCGAATGAAGGGCGTCCATTGGACGTCTAGCCTGAGGCATCTCGAATCTCAGCATTCCACTGAGGGGAATGGGGTATGGCGATAGCCCGGGAAGATGCGCTATAAATAGGGCACCATTTGCCAAACCCAGAGATGGCTTTTCTCGGATCCTTATGTCTTAATAGAAAGACGATTGATTTTCTTTCCGTCCCTCCATCGCACTCAATTCAAATACACCGGCATACGATGTGCAGCTGAAATAACGGCATACGATGTGCAGCTGAAATAACGGCATACGATGTGCAGCTGAAATAACGGCATACGATGTGCAGCTGAAATAACAGCATACGATGTGCAGCTGAAATAACGGCATACGATGTGCAGCTGAAATAACGGCATACGATGTGCACTGAAATAACGGCATACGATGTGCAGCTGAAATAACAGCATACGATGTGCAGCTGAAATAACGGCATACGATGTGCAGCTGAAATAACGGCATACGATGTGCAGCTGAAATAACAGCATACGATGTGCAGCTGAAATAACGGCATACGATGTGCAGCTGAAATAACGGCATACGATGTGCACTGAAATAACGGCATACGATGTGCAGCTGAAATAACAGCATACGATGTGCAGCTGAAATAACGGCATACGATGTGCAGCTGAAATAACGGCATACGATGTGCACTGAAATAACGGCATACGATGTGCAGCTGAAATAACGGCATACGATGTGCAGCTGAAATAACGGCATACGATGTGCACTGAAATAACGGCATTTATGTGTGCAGCTAGAATAACGGCAGACTTAAAATGACAATAAAGCGAAATAAAACTACGTTTGAAAACTAAAGACTAAATTAAAAAACAAAAACAATGAATACGCGATTCACACCAAATTTCTTATAATTATAAGTTGCAAAGAAAAGATACATATTTAAAAAAAAATTTAACAGACCTTTTCGAAAGTAACTTAAAAAAATATGTTCAACTTAACTTAAACTTATTTCCTTGGACATAGAAAAATAGATTTAAAAACTATCAACTATCGTCGCGACAAGATAACTTATGACAGTTACAATAAAAAGACAAACCTGAAACTGAAATCAAATACGAAAATATTCTTTCATTCAGCTTGTTACCAACAACGAATCGCCCAAGCTATGTTTCACATAGCCACCGTTACGTCAATTTATAGGCGTTAATAGCGGTTTTACATGACGGATGCAAGCTAATGTATCAGTGTGTGAAACAACATTATCCCTACGGATACCACCCTTTTCACACTCGCATCCCAAGAGTAGGTCTCAGTTTTTTTTAGTAACCCGCGCCCCTTACATATCTATGCAAATGTAGCTTTGGTAAGACGCAACCAACGATACATACATTTGATGGTGTTCACCTTCTAGAATGTAATTCACGTTTGAAAATGGAATATAATTTTACTCCATTAAACCAATGATAAAAAGTAGCTGTGTTGTAAAGGGGTCGTCAATAAATGCACTAGCAACCCTCAACCCCCCCCCCCCCCCAGACACACCCATCCCCACTCCACATCAAATAGGTACATGTTTACAGAAAACTTTCTACGTACGTCACATTTCTCCAACCTCCCCTACCCACCCCATGTAAGACAGTATTAATAAAATACTGGGAAATATGCCAGTATTAACAGCGAACCAGAATTTTTAAAATATATCAATATAAAAAAAAACGAATCTAGAAGAAGAGAGCGTACACAGTAACGACACAGCAACACACAAGCTTAACATCTATACCCCCTTAATACCCTTACAGTTTACATATTGCCTCTAAATGGCCAGGAATATTTTTCGGTCAATTGTAGTAGATCTATAGTGACATTTTCTAGGTTCCCCGACATGGTAATACCAGGTCATTTTGTGCTGATATCCCCTCCCCCATTTTAAGCCCCGCGTCAATAACAACGGAACAAAATATCAATGACGCTACCGTATTGTTCTGCCGGGAAACTGGCACTCATACCGCAGTGGTTCATTTACATAGCAGATAGATCTACGCACATTTAGAAAAGGTGTAACGTTACATCTAAACAACTACTTTTTTTCTGAACCGTTTAGGTATTTTAAAAATATATAAATAGCTTGTGCGGTGCGGGTGTGGTTTTCACACACGCATCATTCCTATTTTTGCATTATCTTCTACATATTTATATCGGCCCAATTAATTTAATTGCTGACGTCCACTATTCCATGATCACGTTGATCTATTTAAATTTAAGGTTGTGGGGTAAATATCTATAACGAGGATATTTTTAGTATAAATACAACACATACCAAAGTAGCTTATCTGGGTCATCCCAGTGGTTTTAGATGTTACATGGCTCTTTCAAATATTTACAGTGCTATTAGTATCATCACTGAAGGAAAAATAAACCTATAAAACGAGCTATCAAAGCACAGTGTTAGTCCCTTGGCTCATTCTACACATGAAAAAAAAAAAAGTAGACACTAATACATTTATGGAAATGTTGAATAGAGAGATGCATAAAAGTAGGAAATGGTGATGTTTTGTGAAATGTGTAGTAGTAAAGTTGAATAAGACATACATCATATCTCAATCCATTAAATTATAGTACTGGAAAACCTCTCTTTATAAGCAGATTAGTATGATAGCTGCTTCTGGCTGCACTAAAAAGTACCTAATATGATAAGATAGTCTTATAGGCTAACTAAATAAATGATAGAGCTATGCAAACATAACACTTGGTAATGGCTTGGTATCACTAGTACACACTGACATTTCATCCACTATACTATGGGCTCAACAGTCAATGTAATTTAGCTACTGGAATGTTTAGTACTGATTAAAAAAAAACAACAAACAACAACACATGTAACAGATGTTATAAATAGCAAAGAAAAACTTTTGAAAATTCCTTCATTACAAGCATCAACCTCCTTACATATGGTGATTTTAGGATACCTGCAATCAATCATGTAAGAACAAATAGATGGGGCAGGTCTAACATTGACATCCATTGACAAATAGATGGGCGGGTCTAACATTGACATCCATTGACAAATAGATGGGCGGGTCTAACATTGACATCTATTGACAAATAGATGGGATAGGTCTAACACTGACATCTATTGACAAATAGATGGGATAGGTCTAACATTGACATCTATTGACAAATAGATGGGATAGGTCTAACATTGACATCTATTGACAAATAGATGGGCGGGTCTAACATTGACATCTATTGACAAATAGATGGGATAGGTCTAACACTGACATCTATTGACAAATAGATGGGATAGGTCTAACATTGACATCTATTGACAAATAGATGGGGCAGGTCTAACATTGACATCTATTGACAAATAGATGGGATAGGTCTAACACTGACATCTATTGACAAATAGACGGGATAGGTCTAACATTGACATCTATTGACAAATAGATGGGATAGGTCTAACATTGACATCTATTGACAAATAGATGGGATAGGTCTAACATTGACAAATAGATGGGATAGGTCTAACATTGAAGTCTATTGACAAATAGATGGGCGGGTCTAACATTGACATCTATTGACAAATAGATGGGATAGGTCTAACACTGACATCTATTGACAAATAGATGGGCGGGTCTAACATTGACATCTATTGACAAATAGATGGGATAGGTCTAACATTGAAGTCTATTGACAAACAGATAGGGCAGGTGTAACAGCAAACAATAAACAGTACAGGCATATTTTCAAAAACTAAAATCACACTTAATAAAAAAAACCTTGAAATAAGAAAGAAGATACAAACAACATAACTAAAACAAAACAAACATGTTGTAACAGCTCTCTTTTACAAAGGATACATTCTTAATGAACCATTTCTATTCCCTATGGCCAACAGATGCTGTACTGGATCAAACGCTAGTGCAGTTGGTGTAAAAGGGAATCCATGACGAACAGTCTGTCAAAATAAAACACCATACGGTATAACAAAATGGTGCTACATTAAAACAACAAGGCCAAAGACACATTCATAATTACAGATATACTGTATTATTAAAACAGATAAATAAAGAAACAACACAAAGGTTGTTCACAATTTCACAAGCAGCGAGTATTGCAGCTATTTGCTAGCCAGCAAGTCTACACTAACCCTAACAGCACTGTTGACAGAAGAACTACCTCACTTTGACACTAGATTGCCCCACTAGACTCTTACCAAAACAGATTATAGGATTGTTATTAACAGCAAATGACAACATGCAGTTATAAGAAGAAAAAAAGGCATCAATATGTTCATAATGGAAATAACCAATCACAATTACATTTAGCTATTTCAAGTGAAACTTTGAAAATAAAGTACCTATAAATAGTAAATTGTAACAGCAAACACACTTACATTTTAATATTTTTAAGGGCTCAACTTATAAGATGAGGCCTTACATTTATACTACAACAAGTTTTTATTAAGTTACCATCAGACCCAATTATTCTTATAATCTCATCATCTTATCCCATTCATGCCTAGACACACGGGGCACATGTTTCAATGACCTCGGCATATGAAGGATAGTTAAATCTGGTCATCACTATGCCTAATTGCCTTTACTTTCCCTAAGGTAAGTTAAGTGGGTAAACTTGAACTCAAGACTTTTGGTTAGGCCCTCTACCACTAGAATTGCTCCTATTAATTTAATTTTAATTTTTAGGGAACTACTTGAAATATCCTTCATGACTGACTTTTAATAGTCATACAATATAATTATATGTAGGCAACAAGAACAGGACAGAAATTAGTGACACCATATACTTTTAAGTGTGAGTTGACACTGTCACCTTGGACCTCTATCAAAGCAAGCAATGATCTTTAGACAAACAGAAAAATACTCCCACCCCCCCCCCCTCCTCCCAGTTTTGGGTTTAATTAATAACAGAAAAATCATTCAATTTTCAACTTATTTAAAAATTGTGTCCTGAGGGACCCCATCTTATCTTATTAAAAAAGTAACAAAGCCATAGCATATTGTTTTAGTAAATAAGACTCCTGTGGCCACAGTAAACTAAAGCAGCTTTAGGCCACCTATAAAGATGAAAATCAATAAAAATCTTCTGCAGTTCAGTGCACTAAGTTAATGTAAAATTAGCCGTGTAGCCTAAAATAAAACACCTTGCAGTTTAAAACTTAAACTAGGCCAATTTTTAAAACAGATTTTATAGAATAGGGACTAGATCAAATTCATTAGCTTGATCATTAGCCTTAGGCCTAATAGAAACTATTAGCTGGCCTAATATAATCAAAATATAGACTAAATCTCTAGTCTCATCAGTAGACAGATAGTCCTAACTTACTAAATTAGTTACTGTGGACTGAATACTTAAATAACTTATGGCAGATATTCTACTAATACTGTATAGCAGACATTGAGAAAAAAGGCCATATGCTTAACATCAACTATTTGATTTTGCTCAGTGTATAAAATTAAATAAAAAATTGCAAATTCATTGACATCATTATAGGCTAAGTGGCCTTAATAGAGAAGTTAATCTAACAATTACTAAACTCAAAGGCTTAGGGGTCATCCATAAATGACGTCACACTCGTAGGGGGGATCCATAATTTTGTGACGATGTGTGATGAGGGGATCAGATGTTGCGACGTCACATTTTTGCATTATAAAAAAGCAATGTTAGAAAACGAATTTTAGACGTTATTTCGCGTTTTAGATAACTGTTTTAATAAATTGTAATAGTTTAGACAAGATTTTGGAAAAATATCGATGTTTAAAAAAAAATTCAACTGCAATTTTGAGGGGGTTGTAGGTTGAGGTGTGACGTCATTTTAGGGGGGGGGGGGGGTCTGGGTTTTTGTGACGACGTGTGACGGAGGGGAGGGGGGAGGTAAAAATCGTCCAAAAAAGCGTGACGTCATTTATGGATGACCCCTTAAACTTAGGGCCCTAATTAAAGTGCTGTTGAATTATCTTGGGGACTTGTGTGTGGTCTTTTAAAAAGATTTTATTTTATTTTAGCAGTTTGAGTTTATAAATTATCATAACACTATAGCTCTGCAGTGTCTGTGATCGCAAATGTTACAATATTGATAGGGTAGGCATATAGATCTACTTTTTTTTAAAGGTGTAGGCCTACTAAACATCACTACAATATCTGATGTAGAAATCTAGATAGGCCTACTTTATTATTATTAGAAAAATGTGGGCCTAGGGTTATTACCAAATCAGATTATATTCCTAAAATTAATATTCCTGAGAGAAATAGGGCCTACTGAAAATAGGAGAGTAGAACCTTAACAACAAATTTTAGAAGTCTAGATCACAAATTCTGTTTTTAAATTATCCATTCTGATTCTGATATTTTAATTATTAAATAGGGCCTAATTATCATGACCTAGTTTAGGCATTTTGGTAAATTTTGCCTAATTATCTCAGAATGATAAAACACACATAATATTGAAGGCCATAAACTGCCATTTAATAAACCACTAAATTTATCACTGTAGGCCCAGTAGTTTTTTTTTTTATGAATTTTTTAAGTTGTATGTTAAACAGCTTATATTTTATTGTAAAGTTGCAAAATATTTGGTGTCCTTCTTTGAGTTCATATAGCGTTGTTATTTTTTAACATGTAATGATAAAACTTTGCATATTGATACTAGAGAGTACAGGAAAAAGGAATATGCAATTGAAATAAAGATCAGTAAAGGTAAAACCAAAAATAATTAAGACTAATTAAGGGTCATGGCGTTTTTATATAGAGAGCAACGTTAGTCTATTGTCAAACTGCACAACTCTGTTGTTAATAAAGATATATTGATAATACTTTGCATATTGGTGCTAGGGAGTACAGGCAACAGGAATATGCAAGTGAAATACAGCTTAATTAAAAGGAAAACAACTAATAATTAACTTAATAAAGCCCAATTAAGGAGTGCGGTGCCGTTCTACTATGATTGCCACAAGTCACTTTTCATACTGAATATCTATGTTGCTATTGATGATACAAAGATAAAACTTAGCACATAGATGCTTAAGGATGTTGGGAATAGAAATTTACAAGTCAAAAAAATGCTAGGAGAAAAAGACAATCACATATAATAAAGTCTAATTAATGGGGGTGGCACTGAAATCTTGTATCAATAATACCTGTGTATTATACTCATACTGGAATATGATATGGTTAGGATTATGTTGAAATATCTAAATATTAGTAGCATTAGTTATAGGCTACTTTTAATAAGTAGCCAAGGATGGTTAATCAATAGACAGCCTACAGAAACTAGATGAGATGTGTCGCAACCGAAGGATAGACAGCTGCCTTATTTGCTGATCTGAACCTACTGTTTAAAAAAAATTACTGTTGCTTAGTTTAAGTTATAAAATTAAGTCACATTGTTCAAAGTGTTACTATTTCTGTTTTCTTTTTGACTTTTAAAAAAATGTATCTATCACTGTTGCTTTAGATCACATTATTAAAGTGAAGTGTTAATGTTTCTATTTTATCTTTGACTTCATTTATTTTACTTTCCATGCCTCTATAGATCTAGTAGTATATTTTAGCTATTATTAAATTTTAAAGATAATATACTATAATCTGAGAAATGACCAATTTAATCTTTGTAATTATTTTCTTAATCAGTTTTTCCTGAAAACTAAAGTTTAGACATCATCCATAAGTAATTTTACAACATAATTATATATTTAAGCTTGATGCAATAAATATTAGTTCTATTAGATTCTTATAAGCAATTACTCATTAAAATACATAGATCTAAATCTATTCTATAGGGGCCTAATATTTATAAGGGCCTATTTATTACTATTTAAAATTTTAATTAGGCCTATTATTATTACCCAATTGAAAATGACTAATATCATCGTAATATGGAAGATTATTAATGAATGGGACTATTAATTCCATTGCTTTAAATTTTATTTAATCCATAAAAAACATTCTATAAGCTAAAATCTTGCCAATTCAATGAATAGTGTTAAACAGTAATATCAAATGTGCGATTTTTTATATTTCATGCATATGGTCTATGGACCGTCATAAAAATTTAAACTCGGCCGTCATTATTAAAATTGCGTAGATCCCCTTCACTTCACGCAAGAAGCAATATCTGGTTATAAAGAGCTAAAAAGCCCCATAAAACCAACATTTCCACCCATCAAAATAGTTTGGCATTACTTATTTACTAGATCTAGATCTAGTTTCCTGAACTTATCTCTTTTTTAAATGCCGAAATTTGGTTCTATCGATAATAGGTAACCTCGCGGCCCCTATCGCCCTGTTAAAAAATTGTGTCAGCGGGACCCCCCCAAGATTTACCAATGCTTTTTAAGCATGTTCCAATGAAAAAAACTCTATGAAACTGTTATTTTTGTTCTTGAGAATGGTTAGGATGCTCATTACAACTAATGTCTAGCTTATTATACTTTACTTTCTTGCTAAAATTAATACTAATTGAAAGAAGTCGGTTACTGCGTTTAATGAGACGTGCTCGCTAAGATACCTCGATAAAATTGGGATCGATATGTTAAAATGTAACTAATAGTTTTCCATACAAACATAGAATATAAAAACAGCCCACTTTGACGTATCGAATACATTAATTTATCGATTCTCTCATGATAACTAAGCACTTGGATGGAAAATGGCCGAAATTACAAAAGTTGGCTTGAAAAATTTCGGATGTGGCCAGATTAAACAAAATGGCGGACATCGAAATGCCTAACCTAGTTTGATGATAAAGATATTACATTTAGGTTGCAATTTGCCTAATGCCACCCCCCCCCCCCTTACAATACTTACATTTTAGTAGGATAGGTTACAAAGTATAAGTTAGGTAGGGCTTGGATTAGCCTTTTACTTCTTTCTTTAAATCTTTATTGGTTTATTCTTTAGCCTAATCTTTTTTAGCCTGCAATTTTTACCTTTTTTTTAGGCCTCTTTGAAACTGACACAGAGAAACGTAGATTCTAGACTTAGAAATAAATTAAGCCCTCGTTTTATCGTTTGACCACTCATCAACGAGATACTGATATTAGATGTTAGTAGCCTAATGGGTCGTATTATTGCAGATATGGATCTTATGTTACATGGAGAAAGGTTGCTTAAAATGTGGTAAGCCTAAGCCACAAACGAAAACGGCCTTGGCCTTGCGTTTGTTGACAGATTCTAACTGCTATAAAAATCTTCGGTAATCTATCGTTTTGGGTACGTAAAATCGCCCGCGGCTATTAATGTACGAAAACGTTACCTCATTGTCAAGGCTGTAATAGAAGTATATTGTGATATGTTTGTGTCAAATATTATAGATAAATGAATAATAAACCTAAATCAATGGCTAAATATATCAATATAGGCCAGAAATTATCTTTAAACAGCTGTGTCTGCAAGCAAGATTTGCTATATAAACAGCAGCCATTTGTAAAATAGAGTGACTTCCGCCTGAATCTCGCGCTAGATCTTATATGTCTATAAAAATAAAACTTAAACAAGATGGCTGCTATAGTAAATGAGCGTGGTTGCATCTGTTGGAAACATCGCTGGTGTTCATTTATTACTGAAAAGTTTTAATTCAATTGTTTAAAAACAGGTACATAAATGAAACAAGGAAACATTTTTGTATTTTTCAAAACATAAATCCTCATCAAAATGTGAAATAATTATTAAAATGTAAGGAGTCACCTGTTTTTCACATTACTAGTCGCGGCCGATTTTACGTACCTAAAACGATAGATTACCAAATCTTCTTACCTTCGTCACATGATAATGTTCAGGACGAAGAGTTTCTTCAATTTCAGTGTCCTGTCGATTTTGAGAAGAGCCACCAGATCCACGTAATCCATCTAGAACAGTTTTTAATGTAAATTTTTTCCCTCTTGATGCTGCGGAAGATGACATGATGCAAAAAATATTGCAAGCTGTCGTAAAGACATGTCACTAGGTCCAATCTTTGTCGGCTGCTGCCATTTTGTTTATGTCGGAGTCGATTGTGGTGTTTCCAGATTTTTGCAGCATAGACCATAACAAACTTATTTTGGGGAAACCAAGCCAAATTCTAGACCAAATACAATTTTCATTTCACATAATTTATTGTCGATGCATGTTTCTAGACAACAGGTTGTTTTTAACACACAGTTCTTTACATATACTCAACTGTTTATAGTTAAAGAAAAAGAAAAGCATACGTTGATGAAAAAAAAGAACTTATAAAACGGTTGCCCAAAGCAAAAGCAATGACGCAATAAACACTTTTTCTCAAATAATTTTAAAGCCGAAAATTATTATTCTTAAAATAACTGGAAATCAGCGTTTTTACACTTCTCTTATAATGAGAGTTTACGAGTTGATTAAACTATATATATATATATATATATATATATTTATATATATATAAGCCTATATATAGGATATAATATATACATATATGTATATATATATACATACATAAATACATACATATATATATATATATATATATATATATATATATATATATATATATATATATATATATATATATACGGTGGAGTAATGACGTCTGTTGCTATATTCTTATACAATATTTCTTCATTTCAATACAATAGACTTTAAAACGCAGTGAAATATGCGCTTCTTTGAATGGAAATATATTTGTGCTAATGCTTCCTTAAACGTAAGACAAAAATTGCCACAGAATGAACAACAATTCAGTCTATTGGTATCTAAATATAGCACAATATCTACAATATATTATTAGCATACCAAACACACATACACACATATATTTATATGTATCTCACATATATATATATATATATATATATATATATATATATATATATATATATATATATATATATATATATATATATATATATATATATATATATATATATATACGATATAAAATTTCAAATTCCACACTCATTCTCTATATAGCCTACTATTTTATTTTCATGACTTTTCCATCGTCCTTAAATATATATCTCCCTGCGACATTGCCTCAATCTGCCTTCAGACGATAAGGCTCTAATTAAAAATTGAGAATCGAAATTTTTACTATTTTATAAACAGTATTCTCAATTCTTATTATTTACTTACGTGTGAAAGGCATATCAGTTGTATCTTTTAATAAACATTAATTACATAACCTACTTGACAAAACACGTTTGAAAATATTTAAGCTTTCGTTGTTGTTAAAATGTTTCCTTGAAAAATAATGTATCACTATAAAAATATAACTATGTAAGTAGGCCTAGTTAATATTATGTTGAATATTCCGACCAAACGTAAGATTTTCCCATTTTACTTGTTTTGGCTCATAAAATGCCAATGATGGACACCACACTTTGCTGGAAAATGTATTGGGGACCCGGATGTGGAGTCCCAGTAGCTCGTGAATACGATTACTAGGCGAGTCTCTAAGCTGGGTTTTGCTCACTCTTGCCGTGATACGTTTTTCGTGCGGAACATTTCGCATCGGCAGCAAATCTGTTCAAACCCTCTTTATTGATTTTTTTAAAAAGGCTGCTGCGTATTCCCGCTGACGTGTATTTCGAATATTAACATGATGACAATGATTGACAATTAGCCTATTTCGTTAGCATAGTGGGCCCTAAATGCCAGCAACAAATATTTAAGGGCACTTATGCCTTTTAACTTTTAATTTTAGATATTAGTTCATAAAAATTAAAAAAAATATTGAAATAACCTGTAAATGCGTATAGAAGTACATGTTATCTAACACGAAAAAAAAACAACAAAATACTTATTTCTAACTTAGTAGGCTATCAATTTTTGAAAATATAATTAGATATATAAGCTCAAAAAAAATTGTTTTGCTTATAAACCTAAAATTTTGGGCCGCGACGGGCTGCGATGCTAAGGCGACAGAATCAGGCGACGCAGTAAGCAACATCAGGCATCTCTCCGTGATGGGGGTTAGGGGAGGGGGGGGGGGGGGTGGGGGGGGGGGGGGGGGGGGTGAGGGGCTGCCCGAGTACCTCAGGCGAAATAGAAAAAATATATACTGTATATAGAAAATATATACTTTGATCTCGGTCCGTCGTCCACCTCACCCCTCCCCCTGAAGTTTTAAGTGTCCCTCACCAGGTGATAAATATCACAAAGAGATTTAGTCCTTAAGGGGGAGGGGGGCATAAACATAGCTTCTTACAGGCACCTCTTTGGGGAAGGGGGGGGTGGAGGCTTCAAAACGGAATTTATATAGAAAATATATACTTTTACGGTGCCCTGCCCCCCCCCCCCCCCGGAAAATTTAGTCCGCACCCTTCCCTAAATTATCAAGTGTCACCCCCTCCCCCCCCGAGAAAAAAGTCTGAAAGAAACACTGGGCATAAACAGCTAAATGAAAATGCAAGCTTACTTTTAAGAAAAATCCTTTAACAGGCTACTTCCAGTGTTTTTAAAGGCCTGCATCATACTAAAAACAACAACAAAAACAACAAACAAAACACAGCTATATTTTCAGACAGTTTGACACCAGCTGTCTATGTGGAACAGCATGGTCGGGATAGGGAGCGCATGACTGATAGCTCCAAAAGTCCGGAGTTCGGATCTCAGGCAGATGAGGCTCGTTAGAAGGGGACAGCAATCCATCAAGGATAGACAACTCCAAATTCAAACAAGATTGTTCTCGGGTGGACTAGCAGGCAGAGGCGTAGCGAGGGCAGGGCGGGAGATGCGGACCGCACCGGGTGACAGCATTTCGGGGGGGGGGGGGGGGGGGGGGGGGGACACCTAGGCAAAACATTGCAAAATGTACAGAAGAAAAATGTCTTAGTGCCAGATCCATTAGTGATTAATTAGTTAAATAGACTTTTTAGAACAAATCGACAATTATTACAAGGGGGGTGGGGTTTTTTGGGGGTGGGGGTGGGGGTGTGTGGGGGGGTGGGGGGGGGGGACACCACGAAGTGCCGCACCGGGTGACACCCGATCTAGCGACGCCACAGGCTGAAGTCGAAGAAAAGTCGAAGTCGGAGCCAACGGGTGATTTGCGCATGATATGTTGACAAGTAATAAATTACAGGATATCGCTTTCAATATATTACAATTAAGAAAAGAAGCCAAACACTTAAAACTAAATTTCCAGGTCCTCTTAAACTATCAGCAACGTTTATGGAAAATCCTTGTAAATATATATATATTTTTACTCAGTATAGAAGAGAAGAGAAATTATCACCTCCCCCTCCACCCCGTCTACTCATATGGACGGCAAAGATCGATGACAGATTAACATGATCCTTAATTGATGCCGCTTTAAACTTTTACACGCCTAGCCTTTCCAATCTAGCCTGGCCAACCGCGTTAAAAAATATACGCGAAGATTGTAAACACGGGCACTAGATGATCGCTATGCTAGGGGAGGTTACTCTAGTATTCAGGATCAGGAATCTTAATTATGAGATAATCAGTTGTGTAAATTAATAACCAGAGAACTCAATTAGTTAACAAATATATATATGGTACTAGATCATTCGCCTGATCCACAAACAGTATTCTAAAATAAGTCAGTAGGAAAGCACATATTATGTAAGGGCGCTACCTACCGCGCCGACCTAGCCAAACGCCACTCGACACAAAAAAAAAACACAACTCAACAAAATACAATATAACGAAAGTAAACAAAAGAACAACACAACAAAAATCACCATATAATATAAACATCACAGAATCCCCCCTCATCACAAAAAGATAAATAAAAACAACACAGCCGCATATCAAAAATACAACTCGACATCACATAATACAACAGAGATTTCTTAGGCATGGCCGAATGGTAGAGTATTCACCTGCTAACTCAAATCAAATGTCTCAAGTTCGGGTCCGTAACTAGATTTGCATCACGTTCTTCAGTTCTTGAGTCCATCAGAGGGGCAGAGCCCCCCCCCCCCCTTGAAAAAAGTCTACCACCTTCCCCCCCCCGAACGAGATGGAATTTATATAGTAAACATACACTTTTACTAGTGTCCGCCCCCCCCCCCCCGAAAAATGTTGACCGCCCCCCCCTCCCCCCCCCCCCCCCCCCCCGAAAATATCAAGTGCCCTACCGGAGAAAAAAGTCTGGAAGAAACCCTGGAGTCCACCCAACTGATGGGTACCTGACTTAGTTAGGGAAAGTAAAGGCGGCTGGGTATAGTGCTGACCACACTATTCCTTCTTATGCTGAGGTCACAGAAACAGGTGAACTCTACTTCACCATGCGCCGCAAGATTCGTATGGCACACAACACAACATGCTATTCTTAAAGCACCTATTCAAAATTAACCCGTTTCTTCTTGCGCGCTTTTTATATATTATATCAGATATTTTGAAATAAATCGCCGAGGCAGTACATTTCACTCTACCAACCGTCCGCATCCCCTCCCCTTTTACAATACGATACAATCTATTCAATACATAAGTCCTGACATTGATTTATAATTCAATACAGTCTTTTCATTCGCACCGTTAGCATTGCGCACCCTCTTCCTATGAACAGGAAAGAGAAAAATAAAAATAAACGGAACGATAAAAAAGCAACAATTAAAAAGTATAATCAATTTATAGATTTAAAACAAATATAAGGCCTATCGTAGTTGCATCAATGTTGATAAATTAGAAGTATATTGAGCTCAGCGATAGATTATTAAAATCATTATTTAACCAACCATTATTATAAAAACAACATTAAAGAAAAAAAATTCATAAAAAACGTTTTAATAACAAGCTTTTATGTAATGATGCACTAAAAAGTAGAAAATAAATTATAGACTACTATTTAAATTACTATAAAGAAAAGCTTGGGTCACTTTAGTATCTATTGGATACCTTTACTAATGTTAAAGAAGACACCCACGCTTTTCTTTATAGTTATTTAAATAGTAGTCTATAATTTATTTTCTACTTTTTAGTGCATCATTACATAAAAGCTTGTTATTAAAACGTTTTTTATGAATTTTTTTTTCAGTACTTTACATGTTTTATTTACAATAGAGTTACATGACTAAAAACCATTGCGCGCCTACTGAACATCACGTTCAGTAGGCGCGCAATGGTTTTTGAACGCAGCCATTACGTGATGGCGCAGCTATTGAAGGTGATGACGCGTGTGGTGTGGTTGGCTAGACATGCCTACTAATTCGGTCCAAATTTTAATTAATTCATAAAAAATTAATTAGGCATCCAATTAAGTCAAATTTAGTTTCAGATTGCATTGTCTTCATGTCTTGACCCACGTGCCAAGCGTGAATCGTATCGGTCAAGTAGAAGTTTCCGAATTTTCACTCCTGCGTTTCTATCTAGACAGACAGACTGTCGACAGAGGAAGTGAGTTAAATAAAAGCTTGTAAAAAATTCATAAAAAAATTCATAAAAAACGTTTTAATAACAAGCTTTTATGTAATGATGCACTAAAAAGTAGAAAATAAATTATAGACTACTATTTAAATAACTATAAAGAAAAGCGTGGGTCACTTTAGTACTTTAGTACCTATTGGATACCTTTACTAATATCTGAGAAGAGACCCACGCTTTTCTTTATAGTTATTTAAATAGTAGTCTATAATTCATTACATAAAAGCTTGTTATTAAAACGTTTTTTATGAATTTTTTTTTCAGTACTTTACATGTTTTATTTACAATAGAGTTACATGACTAAAAACCATTGCGCGCCTACTGAACATCACGTTCAGTAGGCGCGCAATGGTTTTTGAACGCAGCCATTACGTGATGGCGCAGCTATTGAAGGTGATGACGCGTGTGGTGTGGTTGGCTAGACATGCCTACTAATTCGGTCCAAATTTTTATTAATTCATAAAAAATTAATTAGGCATCCAATTAAGTCAAATTTAGTTTCAGATTGCATTGTCTTCATGTCTTGACCCACGTGCCAAGTGTGAATCGTATTGGTCAAGTAGAAGTTTCCGAATTTTCACTCCTGCGTTTCTATCTAGACAGACAGACTGTCGACAGAGGAAGTGAGTTAAATAAAAGCTTGTAAAAAATTCATAAAAAAATTCATAAAAAACGTTTTAATAACAAGCTTTTATGTAATGATGCACTAAAAAGTAGAAAATAAATTATAGACTACTATTTAAATAACTATAAAGAAAAGCGTGGGTCACTTTAGTACTTTAGTACCTATTGGATACCTTTACTAATATCTGAGAAGAGACCCACGCTTTTCTTTATAGTTATTTAAATAGTAGTCTATAATTTATTTTCTACTTTTTAGTGCATCATTACATAAAAGCTTGTTATTAAAACGTTTTTTATGAATTTTTTTTCAGTACTTTACATGTTTTATTTACAATAGAGTTACATGACTAAAAACCATTGCGCGCCTACTGAACATCACGTTCAGTAGGCGCGCAATGGTTTTTGAACGCAGCCATTACGTGATGGCGCAGCTATTGAAGGTGATGACGCGTGTGGTGTGGTTGGCTAGACATGCCTACTAATTCGGTCCAAATTTTTATTAATTCATAAAAAATTAATTAGGCATCCAATTAAGTCAAATTTAGTTTCAGATTGCATTGTCTTCATGTCTTGACCCACGTGTCAAATGTGAATCGTATCGGTCAAGTAGAAGTTTCCGAATTTTCACTCCTGCGTTTCTATCTAGACAGACAGACTGTCGACTGTCGACTGACGACAGAGGAAGCGAGTTAAATAAAAGCTTGTAAAAAATTTCATAAAAAACGTTTTAATAACAAGCTTTTATGTAATGATGCACTAAAAAGTAGAAAATAAATTATACACTACTATTTAAATTACTATAAAGAAAAGCGTGGGTCACTTTAGTACTTTAGTACCTATTGGATACCTTTACTAATATTTGAGAAGAGACCCACGCTTTTCTTTATAGTAATTTAAATAGTAGTGTATAATTTATTTTCTACTTTTTAGTGCATCATTACATAAAAGCTTGTTATTAAAACGTTTTTTATGAATTTTTTTTTCAGTACTTTACATGTTTTATTTACAATAGAGTTACATGACTAAAAACCATTGCGCGCCTACTGAACATCACGTTCAGTAGGCGCGCAATGGTTTTTGAACGCAGCCATTACGTGATGGCGCAGCTATTGAAGGTGATGACGCGTGTGGTGTGGTTGGCTAGACATGCCTACTAATTCGGTCTAAATTTTTATTAATTCATAAAAAATTAATTAGGCATCCAATTAAGTCAAATTTAGTTTCAGATTGCATTGTCTTCATGTCTTGACCCACGTGTCAAATGTGAATCGTATCGGTCAAGTAGAACTGTCCGAATTTTCACTCCTGCGTTTCCATCTAGACAGACAGACTGTCGACAGAATGTCGACAGAGGAAGTGAGTTAAATAAAAGCTTGTAATAAATTATAGACTACTATTTAAATAACTATAAAGAAAAGCGTCGGTCACTTTAGTATCTATTGGATACCTTTACTAATGTTAAGGAAGACACCCACGCTTTTCTTTATAGTTATTTAAATAGTAGTCTATAATTTATTTTCTACTTTTTAGTGCATCATTACATAAAAGCTTGTTAATAAAAACGTTTTTTATGAATTTTTTTTTCAGAACTTTACATGTTTTATTTACAATAGAGTTACATGACTAAAAACCATTGCGCGCCTACTGAACATCACGCTCAGTAGGCGCGCAATGGTTTTTGAACGCAGCCATTATGTGATGACGCGTGTGGTGTGGTTGGCTAGACATGCCTACTAATTCGGTCCAAATTTTTATTAATTCATAAAAAATTAATTAGGCATCCAATTAAGTCAAATTTAGTTTCAGATTGCATTGTCTTCATGTCTTGACCCACGTGCCAACTGTGAATCGTATCGGTCAAGTAGAACTGTCCGAATTTTCACTCTTGCGTTTCCATCTAGACAGACAGACTGTCGACAGAGGAAGTGAGTTAAATAAAAGCTTGTAAAAACGTTTTAATAACAAGCTCTTATGTAATGATGCACTAAAAAGTAGAAAATAAATTATACACTACTATTTAAATTACTATAAAGAAAATCGTGGGTCACTTTAGTACTTTAGTACCTAATGGATACCTTTACTAATATTTGAGAAGAGACCCACGCTTTTCTTTATAGTAATTTAAATAGTAGTGTATAATTTATTTTCTACTTTTTAGTGCATCATTACATAAAAGCTTGTTATTAAAACGTTTTTTATGAATTTTTTTTCAGTACTTTACATGTTTTATTTGCAATAGTGTTACAAGACTAAAAACCATTGCGCGTCTATTGAACGTGATAGCGCAGCTATTAAACCTGATTGAACGTGATGACGTATGTGGTGTGGTTGGATAGACATGCCTACTAATTCGGTCCAAATTTTAATTAATTCATAAAAAATTAATTAGGCTTCCAATTAAGTCAAATTTAGATTCAGATTGCATTGTCTTCATGTCTTAACCCACGTGCCAACTGTGAATCGTATCGGTCAAGTAGAACTGTCCGAATTTTCACTCCTGCGTTTCCATCTAGACTGACGACAGACTATCGACAGAGGAAGTGAGTTAAATAAAAGCTTGTAAAAATTCATAAAAAACGTTTTAATAACAAGCTTTTATGTAATGATGCACTAAAAAGTAGAAAATAAATTATAGACTACTATTTAAATAACTATAAAGAAAAGCGTTGGTCACTTTAGTATCTATTGGATACCTTTACTAATGTTAAGGAAGACACCCACGCTTTTCTTTATAGTTATTTAAATAGTAGTCTATAATTTATTTTCTACTTTTTAGTGCATCATTACATAAAAGCTTGTTATTAAAACGTTTTTTATGAATTTTTTTTTCAGTACTTTACATGTTTTATTTACAATAGAGTTACATGACTAAAAACCATTGCGCGCCTACTGAACATCACGTTCAGTAGGCGCGCAATGGTTTTTGAACGCAGCCATTACGTGATGGCGCAGCTATTGAAGGTGATGACGCGTGTGGTGTGGTTGGCTAGACATGCCTACTAATTCGGTCCAAATTTTTATTAATTCATAAAAAATTAATTAGGCATCCAATTAAGTCAAATTTAGTTTCAGATTGCATTGTCTTCATGTCTTGACCCACGTGCCAACTTTGAATCGTATCGGTCAAGTAGAACTGTCCGAATTTTCACTCCTGCGTTTCCGTCTAGACAGACTGACGACAGACAGAGGAAGTGAGTTAAATAAAAGCTTGTAAAAAGAAGTAAAAACAAGAAGAGTAAACGTTTGTCATTTGAATCCTTACTCTTTAAAACACTGAAAAAGATATACTACACCTGCCCTATCTTGTAAGATTCCTGTATTAAAAAAATAATGTTTGTATGATCAAGATTTATCAAATAGACTGTTTAACAAATAGTTTGAATACATTTTTCTATGTTCGTATGACGAAGACCGAATGTTGCATCAGTTTTTTTTTTTGGGCAAGTAGAGTTTACCTGTTTCTGCGACCTCGTTATTTGAAGGGATAGTGTGGTCAAACCACTTTACTTTCCCTAACGTGAGTTAGGTACCCATCAGAGCTGAGTGGACTCAGAGACGTTTACTGACTTGAACCCGGTTTTGAACTCAAGACTTTCGGGTTCGCATTCTAGCGCTGTAACACGCCGTCCCTGATGGTTTATCTTAATTGCCTAAATCTCAGTAAAGCATACATTATCTTAGTACATTTATAGAGATTTAGAAATATTTTAAAATATAAGCATTTAGCAATGTAAGCCGGGTACTGGACGGTGGGGTACGAGTTTACCCTGCGTTCAGTGGGATGGAAGATAAGCCTGGGACATAAGCGACCGATACACGGTAATCAAACCGATATCCAAGCCAGTTAGTCGCAGTTTGTTGAGGCCTGTCTGGCTAATGGGAGACACCTTATGAGCCGGCGATGTACGTTTTGCGCACCATAGTACTTGACAAAAGCCTCAGCTACACCGAACAATCACCACGACGAAACGCGGCGCCATCTTGTGTGACGTCGGTGTTTACTTTGCACTGACCGTTTCGTACTGGTACTGCTTAAACACATGAAAGTAGAGAAATGAGTTTCTTTCGGTTCATTAGCAGGTTAAGAGGTGAGAGCTTAAATCTAATTAAGAAATGCAGCAGCGCTTAAATGTTGTGCTTGTTAATTAACTCCAAATCGCACCGGGAAACGGTATGTCCCCATTCACCCTTGAAGAAATGTCATTGTCATTTTCTTAACTATCTAGTTGCCGTAGTATACTAAGGTAACTAAGGCAACGAGAATATTTTAAGAGGTTAATTTTAATTTGGATCTAGACCTTATATGCCAGTCAATGCCATTTTATAATTCACATTGCTAACCGGCAATGAATATTTTCGTCACTTTATTAAAAAGCTGTGTACTTGAAAATGCAGGTTACGTCAAAGTTTAGAAGCCCTACCCATACCACAGCACTATCTCAAAATCCCTGATCTTAATCCTAATCCTGTCCCTGACCTATCCCCGAGTTAATCCCTGATTTTGATCCTGACCCTAACATAAATAAAGTTCCCCTTCGAACTTACAGTCAATGTGGCAAGTAGAGTTCACCTGTTTCTGTGACCTCGGCATATGAAGTGATAGTGTCATCAGCACTATGCCCGGCCGCCTTTACTTTCCCTAACGTCAGTTAGGTACCCATCAGAGCTGTGTGGACTCAGGGACGTTCTACGAACTTGAACTCCGGATTTGAACTCGCATGCTCTAACACTCGACCACGAGGTTCCATGACATAAATACAAATACCTCTTTAACCTGGCGGTCCATAGGGCAGAGGAAGTAGAGTTCCATTGAAACGGGGATGGATGTGATCACAACCATCTTAACTTTCTTAGACGAGTCAGGTACTCAATAGAGCTGAGTGAACTCCAGCACGTCTGACATTGACGTTATTGAACCTATCAACTGTAAGGACAAGAAGTGTCTGCACTAGAGTGTTATTACCCTACCGGCATTTGTACATTATAGAATCTATGATCAAAATAAAAAAGCATATACACTTGTAATTTCTACCTAAGGGCATAATACCGAATGGTATTTTGTATAAATTGGGGAAAGGGGATATATTTAAGAGCAAAACCAGTAGTATTGTAGGGTATCTCAGCTGGTAGTTAGATAGTAACGTATACAAAAGGGCATATTAGATGATATCTAATGGCTTGACATAGGGTATCAAAGGCATGATGTAGTATATAAAAGCATATCAGATTCAAACTTGATAAAGGTGTGCAGATGGTATTAAAGTAGTTAAATGGCACATCAAGTCAGTGGCGTAGCGACCCCTCCGGGCGCCCGGGGACAAACTTTAAATTTGGCGCACCTCCCCCCCCCAATATTTTTTATATAATAGCAGCTAAAATGGGCTTATTTAGGCACCACTAGGGTGGGCGTCCGGGGACATATGTACCTCCCTGTCGCTACGTCTCTGCATCACGTGGCATGACACTTAAATCTAAATGCCCTGTCATGGACATGGCGGTGTTTTAAAAGGGATATCAGATGGCACCTTGAATTAAAAGGGCGTGGCAAATAGTGCATTGCATTGTAGAGGTTTCCATATCGTACCTTGAAATGTAGAGCATGGCATATGCTACCTTAAATTATAGGGCAAATCTGATGGTGACACTGAATTATAGAGGTTTCCATATCGTACCTTGAAGTATAGGGCATATATAGCATATGCTACCTTGAACTATAGGGCAAATCTGATGGTAACACTGAATTATAGAGGTTGCCAGATAAGAAAATAACCTCTTGAACCAGACGGTCCATGCAGGAGGTAAAGTTGAGTTCACTTGTTTCAGTAGGCTAGACATATGAGGTGATAGTGTGGGTAGGTTAGGTTGGGTTAGGTTAGGTTAGGTTAGGTTGGGTTGGGTTGGGTTGGGTTAGGTTAGGTTAGGTTGGGTTGGGTTAGGTTAGGTTAGGTTAGGTTGGGTTGGGTTAGGTTAGGTTAGGTTAGGTTGGGTTGGGTTAGGTTAGGTTAGGTTAGGCTAGGTTAGGTTGGGTTGGGTTAGGTTAGGTTAGGTTAGGTTAGGTTAGGTTAGGTTAGGTTAGGCTAGGCTAGGCTAGGCTAGGTTAGGCTATATTAGGTTAGGTTATATTAGGTTAGGTTAGGTAATGTTAGGTTAGGTTAGGTTAGGTTAGGTTAGGTTAGGTTAGGTTAGGTTAGATTATGGCTCCAGGTTTAGAGTTGGGGTTTGGGGTTAGTTAGTGTCAGGGTTCTTGAGCGTGGGTGAGGGGATAAATACCTTGGGGGGTTAATTGACAGGGGGTAATGTCACGAGGGAAATCTACTGGGCGTGGGGGCGGGGGTAACAAAGTCTCGCTGTTACATACACACATGATTGCCTCGAGATTATTTAATGGTTGGACTTTGTTTAGTCGAAAAACTGGCTATGGTTAAAAACATGGTCAGGATTAGCTTCAAGACTAGAAATAGGGTCAGGGTCGGGTTTAGGGTCAGAGCTAGGGCTAAAAATATGATCGGGGTAACGTTTAAGGTCAGAGCTAGAAATAGGGTCAGGATTTGGTTTAAGGTCAGAGCTAGAGCTTAAATAGGTTCAGCATTAGGTTTAGGGTCAAGGCTGAAGGTTTTGTCCAGAACGAGCATGTGTAAAAATAAACCTACTCTAAAATTAGCAACGAGTACATCCCATTGATACATCAGCAAATACCACCTTTGATTTGTTACACGATTATTTTTTATGCACGTTTTCACCATAAAAAAAGTGGACCTGGAAACGGTTGGGACAAGTTAAAAGCCTTCAATCAGCATGGTTAAAATTGATTTATTCACTCAATTGATTGAATTTACCGCTTGAGAATGCGCGGTCTCGGCTAGGCTGGTCAGTAAATACACGACAGCGGCGCAGGGGGATCGGGAAGGTTAACAGACACGTTCATAACAAGAAAAGGTACTTTTCCGTTAGCTCGAACCCCGGGGGTGGAGTGGGGGGGGGGGGGGGGGGGAGGTTAGAGCGTGTGATGTTTTGCTTGTCATTAGTTGAATTGAAATGTGGGTGTAGGTGGTATTGCGGCTGACGGTGGTAAAAGTTTAATGTTAGGGCTAGCGTAATGGTTAGTTTATTGGCAGTGTTTCTTTGACGCGGCAGATGGAGTAGAGTTCACCTGTTTCTGTGACCTAGGCATATGAAAGGATGGTGTGGTCAGCACTATGCCCAGCCAATTTTACTTTCCCTAAAGTGAGTTAGGTACTCATTAGAGCTGGGTGGACTCAGGGACATGGAGTCCGGGTTTCAAACTCGAGACTTTCTGGTCAGTAGTCATCCGCTCTACCACCAGACCATGCCGTCCCCAGATGCAGATTTAAAAGCTTTCATTGTAGCACAGTGTGAGCTACCATTGTATGACAAACGTATTACAGTTGTGTAATCATTGTGTAACAAGTGTGTAATCATTGTGTAACTAATGTGTAATCATTGTGTAACAATCATGTAATCATTGTGTAACAAACGTGGATTAATTGTGTAACAAATGTGTAATCATTGTGTAACAAATGTGTAATCATCGTGTAACAGTCATGTAATCATTGTGTAACTAATGTGTAATCATTGTGTAACTAATGTGTAATCATTGTGTAACAATCATGTAATCATTGTGTAACAAATGTGTAATCATTGTGTAACAAACGTGTAATCATTTTGTAACAATCATGTAATCATTTTTGTAACTAATGTGTAATCATTGTGTAGCTAATGTGTAATCATTGTGTAACAAACGTGTAATCATAGTATACAAAATGTGTAGTCATTTTGTAACAAACATGTAATCATTGTGTAACAAACGTCTTACATAAGAGTTACACAACTGACTAAAGTACGTCGTGTGGTAACATTCCCGACCTGCTAACCTAAATGACAGACATTCGTTAGACAGACATTGAAGTACAGACAGTCAACGACGGTATTACGTAACATTGCCCTCTCCCTCCCCTCCACCTCTTTTGTGGTTTGTTAGCCGCTCCGGTATGACGTCACACACCACAGGAGACGGGTTATGGTGGGGGTTCAGACTTTTGATAATGTGTGTCGTAGATGTGGGGGGTCTGGGGTGGGGGGGGGATAGCTTAGGTGGGGACTTTTGTGTAGCATAAATAAGTTCTCGGTTATACGCCTGCGATTCACGCTAGAATCGTTGTTCATTTGTGGGGTTACGAGCTTTTTAAGTGGCGTTTTACATGTTGAAGAAAGGGGGGAGGGGGAAGGTTTTCGCGACGACACGTGACTACAAATGTAAAAGTGGGGGGGGGGGGGGGGCGTCGCAACTCATTCCGGCGCCTAGGGCGAACTATCGATTTTGCGCCCCGCCCCTTACTTCCATTTTTATTTTTACTTTGTGACAAAGCCCCCCCCCCCCCCCTTCATTTCCCCAAGTTGGAAAGGTCACTGTCCCTGTCCCGTACCAGTTTTATTTTATTTGGTGCCACACAATTAATGTAGAAACCAGTTAACTCAGTGTGTAGAGCATTATCGCCGTTTATTTTCTTAACTTTGAATCTGTATAATTTCATATATCCGCTTAAAATGAGCTTTAAACATTTTTTTCTACCCCTTTTGGCGCCCACTCAGGGGGTGATCACCCCAGCCCACCCCCTAGCTACGCCACTAAAGTGGGGAGTGTGTGTGTGTGTTTGAAATTGGCTTAAAGAGCGAGACCGTATTTACTGACGACCCCGTAAATAATAAAAAATAACAATCATATAAGCCTTACTGTTTTTTTCTTTCTAAACACCTTAGGCAGCGAGAGATGGGTATGCGCTGCGGCCGGGGTGAGCATCGGATCCAAGTTAGACGAGCGGCCCATGCCGACCTTGCTGGAAAGAAAACTCCGGGATAAGGTCGAGGAGACCTCGTCCAAGGACAAGAAGAATAAGGTCAAGGATAGAGGCATCAAAGTCCCCCAGGTCTGCCCAACGTACAAGCCGTGTGAGCGGGAATGTACAGGAGGACCTAAGCTGCCAGAGGACACATGTATTAATGACGTCAAGGACAAGGCATCGGAGCAGCTCAATGAATATAAGAAGGCTCACCAAGCAAGTAGCATGCTTTTAGTTTTTTTTTAAAGTCTGTTCAAAATCCGAGGTTTTTATTTTGGGGATAGACTTAAACCAGGGGTCGGCAACCTGCGGCTCGCGAGCCGCATGCGGCTCTTTTGGTGTCACGATGCGGCTCTCCAGCTCCTTGCACAAATATTAATAGTTATATTATTTAATTTTCAAAAATCATAACAAAAATTATACTGTAAGGATACACAAGTTTAAACAGGATAAAAACACTCAGCCCTGTGATAACAATTCCATTCTTGCCACTGCCCAAGTGCCGACTTTTTCGAATATCGTTAATTGGGGAATGTTAATTTAGAATGCTCTTCCCTATCCGTCAGTAATCATTAATTTGACGTGAGTGACGTAGTTATTATTAGCTTCCTACTATTGAGCCGGGTACTTGTCGGTGGGGTACAAGTTTACCCTGGGCTCTGTGGGGTGGAAGATAAGCGTGGTGAGAACCGAATGACAGAATTGACCGATACACGGTAATCAAACCGATATCCAAATCAGTTTGTCGGAGTTTGTCGTGTTGGTGCCCGCCTGGCTACTGGGGAAACACCCCCTGAGCCGGTGTTATCCGTAAAAAAAATTAAAAAAAAAATTAACAGCTTCTAAAGTGGATTGCGATAGTCCTATATTTTTATTTTTTGATTACTAATTTCATTATTCTGTCAAAACAAAAGTATGTTTTGTGTTTTATTAAGAATAAATATTATTTCATATTTAAAGCTATTTATTTTAAATAACAAATCAAATTTATTTACCTAATCCTAACCAAATAATAAAATATTGAAATAAAAATGTCAGTGACCCTTTTAAAACTGGGAAATTGTCAAAATTGTAACTTTTGGTTCTTCCGTCTCAAAAGGTTGCCGATTCCTGCCTTAAACCAATGTGTTTTTGAAAGAATAATCCCTTCTTTGTGATATCCTGACCGCCGGGTTTATTTTTTTTTAAATCTAGGGACTTCTTTGAAAGCTTAAATCGCTCAAGATTCAATCTCTTCTAACTAGGGTGTCTTTCAGGGAACACCACCCCTTGCCAGAAGAACCCCCACCACAAGAAAATAGAATTTATAAAGAAAATATATACTGTTTCCAGTGCCTGAACGTAGGAAAATTTCGTCCGCTTCACCCCCCCCCCTAAAATTTCCAAAGTTCTCCATCTTCAGAAAAAAATTTGTGAAAGAAACACTGCTTCTAACGCAATGATACCTCCCCAAGCAGGTTACGCATTCTACAAGTCCGCACAATAATTATAATACGTTTAAGTCTTTTTTCCCCTCCAAATAAGTATCATGTATTATCATGTTATGCACTATATTGCCCTTTGATTCCAACGTAAGCCTAAGTTTTTTTCCTTGGCTCAACCAAGATTGGTTGATTTCGTTGATTGATTTGTTTTCTTCAATAGCCTTTAACCTGAACAATCTGCAAGGTAGCAGTCGATTTCAGAGTTGTCCCTAGATAGGTTATTGTCCCTAGATAGGTTGTTGTAATTAGTTAGGTTGTTGTCCCTGGATAGGTTGTTGTCCCTAGATAGGTTGTTGTCCCTCGATAGGTTGTTGTCCCTGGATAGGTTGTTGTCCCTAGAAAAGTTGTTGTCCCTATAGGTTGTTGTCTCTAGATAGGTTGTTGCCCCTAGATAGGTTGTTGTCCTTAGATAGGTTGTTGTCCTTAGTTAGGTTGTTGTCCCTGGATAGGTTGTTGTCCCTAGATAGGTTGTTGCCCAAAGATATTTAGTTGTCCCTAGATAGGTTGTTGCCCCTAGATAGGTTGTTGCCCCTAGATAGGTTGTTGTCCCCAGATAAGTTGTTGTCCCTAGATAGGTTGTTGTCCCTGGATAGGTTGTTGTCCCTAGATAGGTTGTTGTCCCTAGATAGGTTGTTGTCCCTAGATAGGGTGTTGTCCCTAGATAGGTTGTTGTCCCCAGATAAGTTGTTGTCCCTAGATAGGTTGTTGTCCCTAGATAGGTTGTTGTCCCTAGATAGGTTGTTGTCCCTAGATAGGTTGTTGTCCCTAGATAGGTTGTTGTCCCTAGATAGGTTGTTGTCCCTAGATAGGGTGTTGTCCCTAGATAGGTTGTTGTCCATAGATAGGTTGTTGTCCCTAGATAGGTTGTTGTCCCTAGATAGGTTGTATTACCTAGATAAGTTGTTGTCCCTAGATAGGTTGTTGTCCCTAGATAGGTTGTTGTCCCTAGATAGGTTGTTGTCCCTAGATATGTTGTTGACCCTAGATAGGTTGTCGTCCCTAGATAGGTTGTCGTCCCTAGATAGGTTGTATTACCTAGATAGGTTGTTGTCTCTAGATAGGTTGTATTACCTGGATAGGTTGTCGTCCCTAGATAGGTTGTTGCCCCTAGATAGGTTGTTGCCCCTAGATAGGTTGCTGTCCCTAGATAGGTTGTTGTCCCTAGATAGGTTGTTGTCCCTGGATAGGTTGTTGTCCTTAGATAGGTTGTTGTCCCTAGATAGGTTGTTGTCCATAGATAGGTTGTTGTCCCTAGATAGGTTGTTGTCCCTAGATAGGTTGTTGTCCCTAGATAGGTTGTTGTCCCTCGATAGGCTGTTGTCCTTAGGTAGGTTGTTGTCCTTAGATAGGTTGTTGTCTCTAGATAGGTTGTTGTCCCTAGATAGGTTGTTGTCCCTAGATAGGTTGTTGTCCCTAGATAGGTTGTTGTCCCTCAATAGGCTGTTGTCCTTAGGTAGGTTGTTGTCCCTAGATATGTTGTTGTCTCTAGATAGGTTGTTGTCCCTAGATAGGTTGTTGTCCCTAGATAGGTTGTTGCCTTAAGATAGGTTGTTGTCAATAGATAGGTTGTTGTCCCTAGATAGGTTGTTGTCCCTAGATAGGTTGTTGTCCCTAGATAGGTTGTTGTCCCTCAATAGGCTGTTGTCCTTAGGTAGGTTGTTGTCCCTAGATATGTTGTTGTCTCTAGATAGGTTGTTGTCCCTAGATAGGTTGTTGTCCCTAGATAGGTTGTTGTCTTAAGATAGGTTGTTGTCAATAGATAGGTTGTTGTCCCTAGATAGGTTGTTGTCCCTAGATAGGTTTATGTCCCTAGATAGGTTGTTGTCCCTAGATAGGCTGTTGTCCTTAGGTAGGTTGTTGTCCCTAGATAGGTTGTTGTCCCTAGATAGGTTGTTGTCCATAGATAGGTTGTTGTACCTAGATAGGTTCTTGTCCAAAGATAGGTTGTTGTCCATAGATATTTAGTTTTCCCCAGATAGGTTGTTGTCCCTAGATAGGTTGTTGTCCCTAGAAAGGTTGTTGTTCCTAGATAGGTTGTTGTCCCTAGATAGGTTGTTGTCTCTAGATAGGTTGTTGTCCCTAGATAGGTTGTTGTCCCTAGATAGGTTGTTGTCCCTAGATAGGTTGTTGCCCCTAGATAGGTTGCTGTCCCTAGATAGGTTGTTGTCCCTAGATAGGTTGTTGTCCCTGGATAGGTTGTTGTCCCTAGATAGGTTGTTGCCCCTAGATAGGTTGTTGCCCCTAGATAGGTTGCTGTCCCTAGATAGGTTGCTCTCCCTAGATAGGTTGTTGTCCCTAGATAGGTTGTTGTCCCCAGATAAGTTGTTGTCCCTAGATAGGTTGCTGTCCCTAGATAGGTTGCTCTCCCTAGATAGGTTGTTGTCCCTAGATAGGTTGCTGTCTTTAGATAGGTTGTTGTCCCTTGATAGGTTGCTCTCCCTAGATAGGTTGTTGCCCCTAGATAGGTTGTTGCCCCTAGATAGGTTGCTGTCCCTAGATAGGTTGCTCTCCCTAGATAGGTTGTTGTCCCTAGATAGGTTGTTGTCCCCAGATAAGTTGTTGTCCCTAGATAGGTTGCTGTCCCTAGATAGGTTGCTCTCCCTAGATAGGTTGTTGTCCCTAGATAGGTTGCTGTCTTTAGATAGGTTGTTGTCCCTTGATAGGTTGCTCTCCCTAGATAGGTTGTTGTCCTTGGGTATATTGTTGTCCATAGATTGGTTGTTGTCCCTAGATATGCTGTTGTCCTCAGCTAAAGTGCCTCATCTGCCCAGATTTTGATCTCCAATTCCAGTTTTCTAATTACAACTTTATTTCCCAGGCCGTTACCTACGTGACGGCCGGTACAGGGACCGCCGTGGGTAACAAGAGCTCAGTGCTGACTGCTGGTCTGAAGGGTCCTATCATGCTACAGGACTTTGTCTTCCTGGATGAGATCGCGCACTTCAACAGGGAGAAGATAGCAGAGAGGGCCGTGGGGGCTAAAGGCGCAGGTGATCTTTCCATAATTGTGTGTGGGTTTGTGTGTGGGTGGGTGTGGGTGTGGGGGCTAAAGGCGCAGGTGATCTTTCCATAATTGTGTGTGGGTTTGTGTGTGGGTGGGTGTGGGTGTGGGGGCTAAAGGCGCAGGTGATCTTTCCATAATTGTGTGTGGGTTTGTGTGTGGGTGGGTGTGGGTGTGGGGGCTAAAGGCGCAGGTGATCTTCCATAATTGTGTGTGGGTGGGTGTGGGGGCTAAAGGCGCAGGTGATCTTTCCATAATTGTGTGTGTGGGTGTGGGTGTGGGGGCTAAGGGCGCAGGTGATCTTTCCATAATTGTGTGTGTGGGTGGGTGTGGGGGCTAAAGGCGCAGGTGATCTTTCCATAATTGTGTGTGTGGGTGGGTGTGGGGGCTAAAGGCGCAGATGATCTTTCCATAATTGTGTGTGGGTGGGTGTGTGTGTGTCACACAATTGTGTATGTGTATATATGTGTTTATGAGAAGGTAATCGCCTCAGTATTTTATGTGGTTGTGTGCGTGTAATATAAAAGATAATCCTCACACCCTTCTGTCTGTGTTTGTATGTGTGTGCTTGTGTGTTATAAGAAGAAATAATAGTCCAATTTCTGTATTATTCGTCATTCAACACTTCCGAATAATTTTGTGTGCAAAGGGAGGCAATCAAAATAATATTTTATAAATTTGTTTATCCGTGTTTACGTACCTTGGTGTTATTATTTAATTTGATAGAATTGTTATTTCAATCTATGAGACTACATAGATAACAATTTGGTGTGTTCAACAGGAGCTTTCGGCGTCTTTGATGTGACGGATGAGATTAGCAAATACTGCAAGGCTTCGATCTTTGGCAAGTCTGGAAAAAAAACTCAAGTGGCTGTGCGATTCTCGAACACAGGTACGGAGAGGGTTGTTGGTAGTTGTAGATGTTTGTTGGTGGTTGCTGGTGGTTGTAAGTGGTTGATGGTTGGCTGTAGATGGTTTTTAGTTGTTGTAGATGGTTGTTTATGCTTGTGGATGATTGTTGGTGGTTATGGATGGTTGTTGGTGGTTGTAGATGGTTTTTGGTTGGTTGGTGGTTGAGGATGGTTGTTGGTGGTTGTGGATGGTTGTTGGTGGTTGTGGATGGTTTTTGGTTGGTTGGTGGTTGAGGATGGTTATTAGTTGCTTATGGTTGCAGGTGGTTGTTGGTGGTTGTGGAAGGTTGTGGAAGGTTGGTGGTGGTCGTAGATGGTTGTTTGTGGTTGTGGATGGTTGTTGGTGGTTGTGGATGGTTGTTGGTGGTTGTGCATGGTTGTTGGTGGTTGTGGATGGTTGTTGGTGGTTGTGGATGGTTGTTGGTGGTCGTGGATGGTTGTTTGTGGTTGTGGATGGTTGATGGTGGTTGTGGATGGTTGTTGGTGGTTGTGGATGGTTGTTGGTGGTTGTAGAAGGTTGTGGATGGTTGTTGTTGGTCGTAGATGGTTGTTTGTGGTTGTGGATGGTTGTGAAAGGTTGTGGATGGTTGTGGATGGTTGTTGGTGGTAGTGGATGGTTGTTTGTGGTTGTGGATGGTCGATGGTCGTTGTGGATGGTTGTTGGTGGTTGTGGATGGTTGTTTGTGGTTGTGGATGGTTGATGGTGGTTGTGGATGATTGTTGGTGGTTGTGGATGGTTGTTGGTGGTTGTAGAAGGTTGTGGATGGTTTTTGGAGGTTGTGGATGGTTGTGAAAGATTGTGGATGGTTGTTGGTGGTCGTGGATGGTTGTTGGTGGTTGTGGATGGTTGTTGGTGGTTGTGGATGGTTGTTGGTGGTTGTGGAAGGTTGTGGATGGTTGTTGGTGGTTGTGGATGGTTAATGGTCGTTGTGGATGGTTGTTTGTGGTTGTGGATGGTTGTTGGTGGTTGTGGATGGTTGTGGATGGTTGTTCGTGGTTGTGGATGGTTGTTGGTGGTCGTAGATGGTTGTTTGTGGTCGTAGATGGTTGTGGAAGGTTGTGGATGGTTGTGGATGGTTCTTTGTGGATAGTTGTTGGTGGTTGTGGATGGTTGTTGGTGGTTGTGGAGGGTTGTTGGTGGTTGTGGAAGGTTGTGGATGGTTGTTGGTGGTTGTAGATAGTTGTTGGTGTTTATGGTTGGTTGTTGGTTGGCTGTAAATGGTTGTTGGTGCTTGTGGATGGTTGTTGGTGGTTTTAGTTAGTTGTTGGTGGTTGTGGATGGTTGATGTTGGTTTTGGTTGGTTTAATATGGTTGGTGGTTATGGATGGCTGCTGGTTGGTGAAGGATTCAAGCGCTATTAAAAAAATCATCTTTTACCAACATTTCTTTGACCAGTCACGGAGAATGGGGCAACAGATTCCATACGAGAGCCGAAAGGTATTTCCATCAAGTTTTACGCAGAAGATGGAGTCTGGGACTTTGTCGGCTACAACATACCGGTCTACTCCATTAAGGATCCCATGATGGTACGCGTTTGAAGGGTATATATATATATATATATATATATATATATATATATATATATATATATATATATATACATATATATATATATATATATATATATATATATATATATATATATATATATATATATATATACACAAATATATCTTGTATATGTATATATTGTATATATTATGTCATTATATTATCTATATATATAGGCCTATATAAAATATAATGATACAAGATATATATATATATATATATATATATATATATATATATATATATATATATATATATATATATATATATATATATATATTAAGGTCGACATGTGGTCAAGAGCTTTCGACTGCTACGCTGAAAGTCTTGAGTTCTGTATGACGCCACTGAGCCCACCCAGCTCTATTTGGTACCTGACTAAAGTCAGGGAAACAAGTTCGGCTAGGCATAACACTAACTATATTATCCCCTCGTATGCCACAATGTCATCGAAAATAACTCTGCTTCATATGCCCATGTGCCTGGTCCGGAATGTGAAAAGATGATGATGCTGATATAACTTTAACTACACAGACGTAGAAAGATTCGTTTATAGTTTATGAGATTTATTTTTACTCTTAGGTTTTAGTTTAAGGTTAAGTTTCCATAAAATTCTCAAGTTTGAATCCGAGTTCAAGTCAGTAGAACGTCCCTGAGTCCACCCAGCTTTGATGGAAACCGAACTCATTTTAGGGAAAGTAAAGGCGGCTGGGCAAAATGCTGACCATACCATTCCTTAATTCCGAGGTCAAGAAACATGAACTCTACTTTATCTGCCCAACAGATCGCTATACTTAAAGAAGATTATTTACTGTTTTACTTTTTTTCTATACAATTTATCATAGGAACCTGGTTTAAGTTTTGGGTTAAGTAGCGTTACATTTTTTTAAATTTAAAATTTCAGTTCCCAAGTTTGATGCACAGTCTGAGACGTAATCCCGTGACCCATCTGTATGTAAGTATCTGTGTGTGTCAGTATATGTGTCAGTATGTGTGTCAGTATGTGTGTCAGTATGTGTGTCAGTATGTGTGTCAGTATGTGTGTCAGTTTGTGTGTCAGTGTGTGTGTCAGTATGTGTGTCAGTATGTGTGTCAGTATGTGTGTCAGTGTGTGTGTCAGTATGTGTGTCAGTATGTGTGTCAGTATGTGTGTCAGTATGTGTGTCAGTATGTGTGTCAGTATGTGTGTCAGTATGTGTGTCAGTATGTGTGTCAGTATGTGTGTCGTGAACACGTTCTTGTGACACTTCGTGATGACACACTACACGACACATACACCCACTCAAACACACACGCTGGTGGTATTCTGTCCACACACTTCCGCGCACACACATTCACACACAGAATCACTCATACTCTTGATTTTTTACTCTGGCAAATACTCAATCGTATACCACCAAATATTCATTCACCCATTCTCGATACACAATCATACGTTATCAAGTACTAAATCATTGACTCAATACACAACCATACATTCTGAAGTACTCAATCTTAGACTCTCAATACACAATCATACGTTCTCAAGTACTCAATCATACCCTTGAGTTGATACACTAGCAAATACATTACCGTATACTACCAAATATTCCGTCATACATTTTCAAGTACTTAATCATCTAATACACAACCACCATGAAATACTCAAACATATACCCTCAAATATTTACCCATAAACCCATAAACCAGATGCGTAGCGAGGGGGGGGGGGGGGGCGAGGGAGGGGACATATCTCCCCGGGCGCCGACCTTAGGGGGCGCCAAAATGGGTTGGAAAAATAAATTGAAAGCTTGAGGGGGGTGCAAATCGAAAGTTTGTCCCCGGGCGCCGGGAAGGGTCGCTACGCCTCTGCCATATACTCTTTTTAAGAATCGTACGACCACTGGATTTTTTTTCCCGGACTTGCCAAAGATCGAAGCCTTAACCAAGTACTCAGTGATACGCCCATGGACATATTCACACACATTTCGATACAATCACACACAATCACACAACGAAAGCACTCGAACTCTCAGCCCCAACTCGCCTTCAATAGATATGCATGTCACCTGTACTCATCATCCATCCATTGCCATCTGTCCCCACACGCTTATACCATCACCACTCCTCCCCTAATCCCTACTCATCCATATACACTGGATTCAAATTCTCCCTGCCCTGTCAACTCCCGATCCACCCTCGTCCCCTTAATTCTCACCTCCTCAAACCCATGTATCATCTACTCCCCCCGTTTATACCGTTCTTGCGGCTGCCCACCCCCTACTTACCTCCTCTCCGACCCCCTCACCCCAATACCATCTACCCCCCCCCCCCCCCCTTATACCGTACTTGCGACTACCCACCCCCGTCTAACCTCCTGACTCCTCTCTAACCCCTCACACCTATACCATCTACCTCCCCCCCAACACCGTACTTGCTACTACCCACCCCCTTCTAACCTCCTGACTCCTCTCCGACCCCCTCACCCCAATACCATCTACCCCCCCCCCCAAACACCGTACTTGCGATTACCCACCCACGTCTAATCTCCTGACTCCTCTCCGACCCCTCACCCCTATACCATCTACTCACCACCCTCCCTCCCCTCCAGGATGCCGATATGTTCTGGGATTTCGTAGCGAGCCGCCCAGAGACCATCCATCAGATCCTGTTCCTGTTCTCCAGCCGTGGTATCCCCTATGGCTATCGGTACGCGCACTACTACGGGGTGAACACTTACAAAATGGTCAACAAGAATGGCGAGGTCTTTTACTGCAAGTTCCATCTCAAGGTGAGCCTGAGCTTAAGTCATGTAATAAGTTCCATCTCAAGGTGAGCCTGAGCTTAAGTCATGTCATAAGTTCCATCTCAAGGTAAGCCTGAGCTTAAGTCATGTCATAAGTTCCATCTCAAGGTGAGCCTGAGCTTAAGTCATGTAATAAGTTCCATCTCAAGGTGAGCCTGAGCTTAAGTCATGTAATAAGTTCCATCTCAAGGTGAGCCTGAGCTTAAGTCATGTCACAAGGTCCATCTCAAGGTGAGCCTGAGCTTAAGTCATGTCACAAGGTCCATCTCAAGGTGAGCCTGAGCTTAAGTCATGTCATAAGTTCCATCTCAAGGTGAGCCTGAGCTTAAGTCATGTAATAAGTTCCATCTCAAGGTGAGCCTGAGCTTAAGTCATGTCACAAGGTCCATCTCAAGGTGAGCCTGAGCTTAAGTCATGTCACAAGGTCCATCTCAAGGTGAGCCTGAGCTTAAGTCATGTAATAAGTTCCATCTCAAGGTGAGCCTGAGCTTAAGTCATGTAATAAGTTCCATCTCAAGGTGAGCCTGAGCTTAAGTCATGTAATAAGTTCCATCTCAAGGTGAGCCTGAGCTTAAGTCATGTAATAAGTTCCATCTCAAGGTGAGCCTGAGCTTAAGTCATGTCACAAGGTCCATCTCAAGGTGAGCCTGAGCTTAAGTCATGTCACAAGGTCCATCTCAAGGTGAGCCTGAGCTTAAGTCATGTCACAAGGTCCATCTCAAGGTGAGCCTGAGCTTAAGTCATGTCACAAGTTCCATCTCAAGGTGAGCCTGAGCTTAAGTCATGTCACAAGGTCCATCTCAAGGTGAGCCTGAGCTTAAGTCATGTCACAAGTTCCATCTCAAGGTGAGCCTGAGCTTAAGTCATGTAATAAGTTCCATCTCAAGGTGAGCCTGAGCTTAAGTCATGTCACAAGTTCCATCTCAAGGTGAGCCTGAGCTTAAGTCATGTCACAAGTTCCATCTCAAGGTGAGCCTGAGCTTAAGTCATGTCACAAGTTCCATCTCAAGGTGAGCCTGAGCTTAAGTCATGTCACAAGGTCCATCTCAAGGTGAGCCTGAGCTTAAGTCATGTCACAAGTTCCATCTCAAGGTGAGCCTGAGCTTAAGTCATGTCACAAGGTCCATCTCAAGGTGAGCCTGAGCTTAAGTCATGTCACAAGTTCCATCTCAAGGTGAGCCTGAGCTTAAGTCATGTCACAAGTTCCATCTCAAGGTGAGCCTGAGCTTAAGTCATGTCACAAGTTCCATCTCAAGGTGAGCCTGAGCTTAAGTCATGTCACATGGTCCATCTCAAGGTGAGCCTGGCTTAGCTTAAGTCATGTCTCCATATTTCTAAATCAGAAGCACTTTAAGAAGCACCTAGCTAGGTACATCTACCATAGCCACAAGCAACTTCCCAATCTCCACTCATCTAAGTCAGAAGCACCTTAAGTAAGAAATAGAAGCACCTAGCCAAGTAAATCTACCTTTGTCACACCTTTACCACAAGCACCGTCCCAATCTCCACCAATCTAAGTCAGAAGCACCTAGCCAGGTAACTCATCCTTTACCACAAGCACCGTCCCGAACTCCACACATCTAAGTCAGAAGCACCTTAAGTCAGAAGGAGAAGCATCTAGCCAGGTAACTCAACCTTTACCACAAGCACCGTCCCAATCTCCACACATCTAAATCAGAAGCACCTAGCCAGGTAACTCAACCTCTACCACAAGCACCGTCCCAATCTCCACAGAGCAACCAGGGCATCAACAACTTTACCAACGCCATGGCTGAAGTGTGTTCGGGAACGGTTCCCAACTACGCCATCCAAGACCTGTACAACGCCATCGCTGAAAAGGTGTTCCCTACATGGACCATGTACATCCAGGTCATGACGCTAGAGGAGGCGGAGGCTATCTCTTCGGAGTTTGATCCCTTGGACGCCACTAAGGTCATTCTTGATAGCGTAGCTTTTGTGTCTATATATAGAAATATTTTTTATAAATTGTTTGATATATATATATATATATATATATATATATATATATATATATATATATATATATATATATATATATATATATATATATACTTGGAATTGTCTTAATTGAGAAATCGTTTTATGTTATTTTTTGCTTTCTTATATTGTGTCCTGAGCTTATTTTGTTGTGATATATTTTGTCCGGAGATATTTATTTTGTCCGCTGATATTTTGTACTTTACATAAGCTAAATAAGTGTTAACAGTAGTCCATTTGTTTATGTTAGGTATGGCCACACAGGTCCTTCCCTCTAATCCAAGTTGGGAGGTTGACTCTCAACCGCAACCCAAAAAACTATTTCACGGACGTCGAACAGATCGCCTTCTCTCCCGCTCACATGATTCCAGGGATCGAACCCAGCCCAGACAAAATATTACAGGTACTTTTTTGTTTGTTTGATAAACATTTCTAAGGCGTAATTTGTTTTTCATATTCTAGTTTATTATATGTCAGGCGTATTCTCTTTACCTTTATGGCATTCCACATATCAATTAGCCCTAGCTCTTCATTGTTATGATACATGTCATTGGTCTACTAAAAAACAAAACACGCCTTTACCCAGGTTTTATCTGTATATACTGTTCTCAGAGCAATGCGCAAATTGAAAACTGCGCAACAGAAAGCTACGCAATCAGAAAAATGCTCAAATACAGATTAATTTTACAAATACAAATAATTCTGCAATATTTCATGGAAAAGTGTTTTATTATGCTAAAATGTGCATGTGGTCATTCTTTGTTAATGACTTAATTTAAATAAACAAAAATGCCTTCCCGCATTTTTCCGTTGCGTATTTTTCCGTTGCGCATCTTTCCAGTCACCATAAACACAGTGTCACATGCAATAGTTGTGTTCTCCTTGCCTCAACACAGGGCCGTCTGTTTGCCTACTCGGACGCTCAGCGCCATCGGCTCGGTGCCAACTACCTGCAGATTCCTGTCAACACCTCACCCGTCGCCAAGGTCAAAAACTATCAGAGAGATGGACAAATGTGCGTCGACACCAATCAAGGTAACGGCTCATTAACGGCTCATTAAAGGCTAATTAACAGCTCATCATCATCTGTTGTCATGGAACGTGGCCTAAGCGGTAGAGCGCTAGGCTGCTTATCTTCTTCTTCTTCGTTCTCAATTTTTAGTGTTGGAAGGGCTCCCCCTCCAACACAATTAAGGTTGTCAACTGGTTATTCGCCATTGAGGCCATTGACTCCAATTTCAGCCTGCTTTTCTTTTTTTTTCGTCCAACCAATAACTAACTACAAGGCAGCAGTTGTTTAGATTTTGGAGTTGTCTCTCCCAGCTAACGAGCCTCATCTGCCCGAGGGTTCGAACTCGAGACATTTCGGTTTAGCAACCATGAGCTTTACCAACTCTACCACGCCGACCCCCGCTGCTTATCTGAAAGTCTCGGGTTTGAATCCGGGTCCAAGTCAGTAGGACGTCCCTGAGTCCACCCAGCTCTGATGGGTACCTAGCTCACGTTTGGAAAGTAAAAGTGGATGCGCATAGTGCTGACCACAGCTTCCTTCATATACCGAGGTCAAGAAACATAAACTCTACTTCATCTACCCCATGTGTCTTGGTCACGAACAGGATTAAGAAGAAAAATCCTTATCCTAATTATACCCATTACCATCTTGAACTGTACCAATAAACCCCTAGTATAACATCAGATAGGAAGTGTTAGTTAACAGATATGGACATCCAAATCTTTTTGTTTTACCAACAGAGGGCGCCCCCAACTATTTCCCTAACTGCTTCAACGGCCCCATCGAGAAGCCTGGGCTGACTGATGGAGTGACCATGCTCAATGACCCCGAGGTACAGAGGACACCCCCTGAACCTGAAAACTTCGACCAGCCCAGAACGTTCTACACTGAGGTATGAACATTGTTTGATTTTTTTACTTGGAAGTATGGGAGGCTAATTGGTCATTGTTTGATTTTTTTACTTGGAAGTATGGGAGGCTAATTGGTCATTGTTTGATTTTTTTACTTGGAAGTATGGGAGGCTAATTGGTCATTGTTTGATTTTTTTTACTTGGAAGTATGGGAGGCTAATTGATCATTGTTTGATTTTTTAACTGGGAAGTATGAGAGGCTAATTGGTCATTGTTTGTTTTTTTTACTTGGAAGTATGGGAGGTTGTTGGATCATTGTTTGATTTTTTTTCTTGGAAGTATGGGAGGCTAATTGATCATTGTTTGATTTTTAACTTGCAAGTATGGGAGGTTGTTGGATCATTGTTTATTTTTTTTTACTTGAAAGTATGGGAGGCTGTTGGATCATTGTTTAATTTTATTTACTTGAAAGTATGGGAGGTTGGATCATTGTTTGATTTTTTTACTTGGAAGTATGGGAGGTTGTTGGATCATTGTTTAATTTTTTTACTTGGAAGTATGGGAGGTTGTTGGATCATTGTTTGATTTTTTTACTTGGAAGTATGGGAGGTTGTTGGATCATTGTTTAATTTTTTTTTTTGCGTGAAAGTAAGGGAGGCTGTTGGATCATTGTTTGATTTTTTTACTTGGAAGTATGGGAGGCTAATTGGTCATTGTTTGATTTTTTTACTTGGAAGTATGGGAGGCTGTTGGATAATTTTTTGTAATGTTTGATTCTTCACCTAGAGGTATGGGAGGCTGTTTTAACATAAAACTTAGTTCAGCATCTAATTCAACATTGAAAATCTGGACAGGTTCTGGACAACGAGGAGAAAGCTATCCTGACTAGGAACATTGCGGAGCATCTGACCGATGCTCACTACTGCATACAACAGAGAGTGCTGGAATTGCTGAACCAGGTGGACAGCGATTTGGGCAAGAAAGTCGAGGAGCAACTTGTTAAGGTAGGTTGTGGTTGTTGGTTTTTGGTTTTTGGTTGTTGTAGATGTTAGCTGTAGTTGGTTGTTGTAGATGTCAGCCCTAGTTGTCAGTTGTAGTTGGTACTTGTAGTTGCTAGTTGTATATGTTAGCTGTAGTTTGGTAATTGTAGTTGGTAGTTGTAGTTGGTTGTTGTAGTTGGTAGTTGTAGTTGGTTGTTGTAGTTTGGTAGTTGTAGTTTGGTAGTTGTAGTTGGTAGTTGTAGATGTTAGCTGTAGTTGGTTGTTGTAGTTGGTAGTTGTAGTTGGTTGTTGTAGTTGGTTGTTTTAGATGTTAGCTGAATTTGGTTGTTGTAGTTGTCAGTCCTAGTTGGTAGTTGTAGTTGGTTGTTGTAGATGTTAGCTGTAGTTGGTTGTTGTATTTGGTAGTTGTAGTTGGTAGTTGTAGTTGGTAGTTGTAGATGTTAGCTGTAGTTGATTGTTGTAGATGTCAGCCCTAGATGGCAGTTGTAGGTGGTAGTTGTAGTTGGTTGCTGTAGTTGGTTGTTGTAGTTGGTTGTTGTAGTTGGTTGTTGTAGTTGGTAGTTGTAGTTGGTAGTTGTAGTTGATAGTTATAGTTGGTTGTTTTAGATGTTAGCTGAAGTTGGTTGTTGTAGTTGTCAGTCCTACTTGGTAGTCGTAGATGTCAGCCCTAGATTGCAGTTGTAGGTGGTTGTTGTAGGTGGTTGTTGTAGTTGGTAGTTGTAGTTGGTTGTTGTAGTTGGTAGTTGTAGTTAGAAGCTCTGTTTGGAAGCTCTGGTTAGTATGTTCTGTAGAAAGCTATTACTTATAATTCTAGCTTGTAGCTCTGGTTAGTATGTTCTGTAGAAAGCTATCGCTTATAACTCTAGCTTGTAGCTCTGGCTGGTAGCTGGTTGTTAGTAGAACGGTTTGATGACTTTTATGGTAGCCATTGTCTTCTTATTTTGCGGTTAACTTTTGGGTTGATGAATTGTATTGCTTGACTTTGTTCACCTGATGGTGGGGTGGGTTGATGAATTGTATTGCTTGACTTTGTTCACCTGATGGTGTGATGGGTGGGGTGAGTGGAGTGATTGGGGGTGTCTGGGAGGGGTAGGTAAAAACTGATTGGGTGCTAACAAGTCATAGCAACTTGCTGTTACTTGTAGCGTTACTAGAGGTGGAAGTGTTTACTTGTAGCATTACTAGAGGTGGAAGTGTTTGTTTTTACTTCTCAAAAGGCGTTAATGAAGGCATGTTTTATAAGCAGAAGATGGGATCGGGGATGTGGGGTGGGGGGGGGGGGGGGAGGAGGGTTAAGACCCCATGTCCATAATACGTTCAACATTTTTAGTTTCAAAATTTAGAATGTTAACCCCCCAAAATGAGGAACGTTTGCCCCATCCACCCCCGTCACCATAATACAATCCTGCCAGCGTCACCGTTGAACACAGTGTTGGATTGTTCTCTTTGAATATTGGGGCAGGTGAAGGGGAGTTCATCTGTATAGTGACCTCGGCATAGGAAGGGATAGTGTAGCCAGCATTATGACCAGCCGACTTTACTTTCCTTAACGTCTTTCAAGTATCCGTCAGAGGTGGATGGACTCAGGGACCCGAACTCGAGACATTCGGGTTAGAAGACGAACGCTCTACCATTCAACCACGCCGTCCCATTATATAAATATGTATATTCATTTTTTTTCCAGGTGGCAAAGAACAGTCCAAAGTTCGAATGATAGGTCTTACGTTCTGACTGAGTTCGCTTACGTCACGGTTAGGTCATGAACTCAACCCTGATTGGTTAACGAGTTCGCGTCATGATTTGTTGAGCATCCCACGAAGGTTGCAATGTTTGAGTTAGTTTACAGTTGGAAGCGAATAGTTCACAAGGCTCCATTCACAATGTTTGAACAATTTTTGACTGATTATAATCAGTCGTATTTCGTCTTTTTTTCTTCTTCAATTTTCAAGTCAATAAACTTTATTAAAATAAATACGGATTTTTTTTTATTATCTTGAATTTTGAAATTTTAAAAATATTTATTTTGAATAAGGATTTATTAGTTAAAAAGCTAGATAAATTTAACGAATACGAATAGAGATTTATATTCTTAAATATTACACAGTAGAACGATTGTTTAAAAAAATTTTTTTTCTTCAACTTTAACGATTTAAAAGCAAGAGATTATTTAGTTACATAATTTTTAAAACTTCGATTTTCTTTCATTGAATAGTTGTGTTGTCGATTTGAAAAAAATGTTTAAACTGCACACAAATCTTCCACATTATATGACACAAGGGGTGGGGGGGGGGAGGGTAAAGCAGATTTATTATTTGAGGTAGGGGCTAACATGGAACAGTGTTATAACCTTATAACACTGGCTGATTTCTTTCATTTTAAAAATACATTTTTGGAATCAATTCATTTTAAAGACAATGGTTTTACATCTTAATTAAGGAAAAACATTAAAACGTCAAATTTTTAGATAAAAGAGTAATCGTGTTCATACAAAAACTCTCAAACAGATTATATGTTAAAATAAAAAAAAGGAAAAAGTAAGGCAGTTATACATAGCATATCGTTAAACAAGTGCCCGCTCCATCGATCACTTTAAAAATGACAATCAGTTTAACCACATTTTGGATTACATTCTACGAAGGACGCATTAATTTAGGCCGTGGATGTAAGTTGAACTAGGTGATTTCCCTTTGTTTAGTTCGGACTTTACAATTGTTTCGTCAGTGTAGTTGCGTGAACATAGAGTTGAGGGTTGGTCGCTTGGTGGTTCATTTGGGTGACCGTGGTGACCCTTGTGGTAGTTCAGTTGGGTGACCCCTGTGGTAGTTCAGTTGGGTGACCCTGTGGTAGTTCAGTTGGGTGACCCCTGTGATAGTTCAGTTGGGTAAACGTAGTGACCCCTGTGGTAGTTCAGTTGGGTGACCCCTGTGGTAGTTCAGTTGGGTGACCCCTGTGGTAGTTCAGTTGGGTGACCCCTGTGGTAGTTCAGTTGGGTAACCCCTGTGGTAGTTCAGTTGGGTGACGCCTGTGGTAGTTAAGGTGGTTGAACGTAGTGACCCCTGTGGTAGTTAAGTTGGGTGACCCCTGTGGTAGTTCAGTTGGGTGACCCCTATGGCAGTTCAGTTGGGTGAACCTAGTGACCCCTGTGGTAGTTCAGTTGGGTGAACGTAGTGACCCCTGTGGTAGTTCAGTTGGGTAACCCCTGTGGTAGTTTAGTTGGTTGAACTTAGTGACCCCTGTGGAAGTTCAGTTTAACGTGGTGACCCCTGTGGTAGTTTAGTTGGGTGACCCCTGTGGTAGTTTAGTTGGGTGACCCCTGTGGTAGTTTAGTTGGGTGAACGTAGTGACCCCTGTGGTAGTTTAGTTGGGTGAACGTAGTGACCCCTGTGGTAGTTTAGTTGCGTGAACGTAGTGACCCCTGTGGTAGTTCAGTTGGGTAACCCCTGTGGTAGTTTAGTTGGTTGAACTTAGTGACCCCTGTGGAAGTTCAGTTTAACGTGGTGACCCCTGTGGTAGTTTAGTTGGGTGAACGTAGTGACCCCTGTGGTAGTTTAGTTGCGTGAACGTAGTGACCCCTGTGGTAGTTTAGTTGGGTGAACGTAGTGACCCCTGTGGTAGTTTAGTTGGGTGAACGTAGTGACCCCTGTGGTAGTTTAGTGAACAAGCTAAATCAAAACAAATCTAAAGCGTTGAAATTGAAAATAAATATATAAAAATACGCTCTAAAAATAAATTGAAAAGATATAAGGTCTAAATAAATTAAAAAATATTAAGTTTCCAAAAATCTTAATCCGAAATAAAAGCAAACAAAACAAAGACGATCGGTAGCTCCGGAAAAATATCGTATAACAAAAAACGAAGTCCTAAATATACAGAATGATAAAATTTTACGATTGAAAATGTCAAACTGTTACAGTGCTTGCTTAGGCTGATGTTGCAAGTCAAGTTGCCGTTTTTGTAGAAATGGAGTAGAAGTAGAGCTCATCTGTTTCTTGACCACGGCATATGAAGGGATCAACACTATGCCCAGCCGCCTTTAATTACCCCAAAGTGATTCAGATACTCATCAGAGCTGGGTGGACTCAGGAATATCCTACAATCCAGATTTCAGACCGAGAATCGAACTTGAAACCTACAGGTTAGTAGCTGAACGCTCTAATGTTTGCAGAGGCGTAGCGAGGGGGGCGGGGGGCGGGGGGACGGGGACATATGTCCCCGGGCGCCGACCTTAGGGGGGCGCCAAATTGAAAGTTTGAGGGGGTGCAAATGAAAAGTTCGAGGGGGGGTGCAAATCGAAAGTTTGTCCCCGGGCGCCGGGAAGGGTCGCTACGCCTCTGAATGTTTGACTACGCCGTCCCATTGCAAGAAAACAAGACATCTAGTGAAAAAGACATTCGTTTCACCATAGTTTAAAACATTCAACTTGAAGTTAACGTATATTATGTTAAGTAGCCGTTCAATTTGCAGTTAACCTATGTTGTTTAGTTTAACCATTTATTTTGCAGTTCACCTCTGTTTAGTTTAACCATTCAATTTGCAGTTAACCTCTGTTTAGTTTAACCATTCAATTTGCAGTTAACCTCTGTTTAGTTTAACCATTCAATTTGCAGTTAACCTGTTTAGTGTGACCATTCAATTTGCAGTTAACCTCTGTTTAGTTTAACCATTCAATTTGCAGTTAACCTGTTTAGTGTGACCATTCAATTAGCAGTTAACCTCTGTATAGTTTAACCATTTATTTTGCAGTTAACCTCTGTTTAGTTTAACCATTCAGGTGACGCAAGCTATTCCGTTGAACCTTTTGATTACCGGCTCTTGTTATCCAGATATTTTGATGGTAGAATTACAAGTCGACACATCTTGATTATCGATTTCGAGTCAAGTAAACATTTTGATTATTGGGTCCTAGTCAAGCGGACATTTCGATCATTAGCTTTGAGTCAAGCATAAATTGTAACCCTCAGAGTTCTAGTCAACCACACATTATTATTACAATTCTTATTAATGCGACGTTGGAGTATACCGGCAAGGAGGAGAGAGGTATCATAACTCATAGCAACTTACGATCTCTTCATATGACGCCTAGTAGGCCTACTAACCTGGAGTGGAAACCAGTGTTTCTTCCAGACTTCTTTCCCCCCGGGGGGGGGGGGGACTTGCAATTTTCGGGGGGGGGGGCGGTAGACTTTCTTCTGGGGGTGGGGAGCTCGAAGAGATGCCTGGAAGTAGCTCTGGTGGAAACTGTTGCTGCCACAAAGAAGCCCCAAACAACCATTTTCCTAAGCGCTGTCCACGACACATCCTGGGGTTCTCATGGGAAGACCGTGTCTCCAACAAAGATATGTTGAAGCAAGCTAACTACATAAGTGCTTAGGGAATGTTGACCCGGAGAAGACTGTGTTAGTTGGGTCATGTCTGCCGTATACCAAAAGGTATCTTAGCAACGGTATAAGACCCAAAAATTGACCCATGCTAAAGTACAGAGGTGTCTGTAAACAAGACCTGAGGCAGACATAAACATACACATGGGGGAGCAGCTGGACCAAGACCAGTGTTTCTTCCAGACTTTTTTCTCCCGGGGGGGGGGGGGGCACTTGATATGTTCAGTGGGCGGTCAATATTTTCCGGGGGTGGGGGCACGGGATACTGGTAAAAGTATATATTTTCTATATAAATTCCATTTCGTTCGGGGGGGGGGGGGGGGGGCGGGGCGGTAGACTTTCTTCCTCTTCCCCAGAAAAGATACCTTGAAGAAACTCTGCCCAAGACAGAACATTGGGTAGACAGACTGTGAGGACTGGCTTCTCGTCACTGGAGGCAAAAGGGCTGAGGTAGCCGCTGAGAGGAGAAGAAGGTAAACATGTGTACACACTGTACCAACAACAATTGTGTACAACAACTGTGGCAGAGATTGCCATTCTAGGATTGGCATCTTCTTCTTCTTTTTCGTTCTTAATTTTTAGTGTTGGAATGGGTCCCCTTCCAACACAATTAAGAATACGTGTCATTGACTGCGATTTCAGCCTGCCTTTCTTTTTGGATTTGCTTCCATAGCCTTTGTCCAACCAAGAACAAACTGCAAGGCAGCTGTTGTTTAATTTTGGAGTTGTCTCTCCTAGAAGAGTGGCTGTCCCAAGCTAACGAGCCTCATCTGCCCGAGGGTTCAAACTCGAGACTTATCGGTTTAGCAACCATGAGCTTTACCGACTCGACCACGCCGACCCCTAGAGGGCTCATGACTCATGGCAACTTACGATTCTCTTGACATGACGCCTAGCAGGAGTGGAAACTGGTGCTGACGGGGTGGCTATCCTGCTAACACGAAAGAACGTCCCTGAGTCCACTCAGCTCTGATGGGTACCTAATTCATGTCAGGAAAAGTAAAGGCGGCTGGGCAAAGTGCTGACCACACTTACCCTCATTTGCCGAGGTCAAGAAACATATGAACTCTACTTTATCTGCCCAAATGGATCAATAGGTCTAAAGAGGATTCTTTACAATACGAATTTGTTCAAGAACGTGGGCACTTCAAAATGGAATCCATCAATTTAAAAAATAATTATAATCCAAATGTCCGAGTTTCAGCGCAGAACATTTCGTCAGGCTTGTATAAAATTAATGTAAAACTCAAACCTTGGATGGCAATGTCTGTTATACCCTCCTAACAAGTCTGGCATGAATGAACCCCTTCCGGGATTTCAAAACGCCGGAAGTGAAAAAATATCACGTGACCCGACGCCCTCCCACTTGGCGCGGTGTCACCCGATCCGTCGCTGACCTATCGCGCCCCGGGTTCTTGAAACCGGACCCGGCGATTCCGCAGAGCTCTCAGACCGGTGCCGCAGCTCCCTGCCACAAGTTCTGGCACTCCAGGGGCGCTGAGAGCACGCCAAATATTTCACCCCCCCACCGCGGTGTCGGGTGTTAAACATGGCCGCCCTGTCAACAGCTCCCCCCCCCCTCCCAGAAAACAAT